CCATCGTTCGTACCGTCACCTGTGACAGCTACGACTTCACGGTTTAAACTAAGATTACTCTCAATCATTCCTTTCACCAAATTATACTTGTCCGTCGGAGACGAACGAGCAAGCACTCTGAGCCGGGGCCAAACCTGATCCATCAAATGCTGCTGAATTTCGCCATTAGAATCACGGATTCGGGCATTAAATTCCTTGCCTTCCAGAATAAGGAAGTCTTGTCCGGGTTTTATAATACCACATTGCATTGCGATCGATCGGGCAGTATTTATGTTGTCGCCAGTGACCATACGCACGGTGATTCCGGCGTTTTGACATTTGCGGATTGCATCCGGTACTTCGGCCCGCACCGGATCCTGAATGCCGACTAGGGCAATACAAGTCAAGTCCTTGACAATCGCGTCTTCTTCGTCCCAATTAATATCTCCCTGATACTGAGCTTCATTATTCTTTGGATCAGATACAACAAAATCTCTAAATTCCCATTATGTCAAAACAAGTTCTAGAACTTTTACAATACACTAAACAAACTACTTGTAGGCAAGACAGATGGTGCGCAGCCCGTCGCACGCCATTGGCTCGATGACGGTTTTCACCAGACGGTCTTTGTCCTGCTGACGGAAGATCACCGCCGTGCCATCGGAGTTAAGAATGAATTTGCACTTTCCAAGGAGTATTTCAGATGCGCCTTTTGAGAACACTCGATAGCAGTTGGGCCGATTGTCCAAAGGAATGACGGTTGACATCGATTTTCGGACAGAATTAAACGTGTATACCTAAAAACCACGCACAGTCAAAACCTGACATTTACTGCCTAGAAGACGTCGTATAAAGGACTGATCATTAAAGATGAAATTGCCGAACGAACTTAGAACAGGTCATACCGTAAAATTTCCAAATTCATTAGATACATAACACTTAATCGTTATGTGAAGTTTTCACCTTTATAAGAGTCACTTCTTCCACTGTCATTCAAGTCTTTAAAAAACTTGTTTCATACAGGAGATAATAATTAAGGCCTCGCATTTACCATTCACTTTGCACGTAGGGGTTTTAACTAATTAGTACGCGTTTTTAAATTATTCAAGTTGAACAAATCATGGTGCGATATTGCGATGGTAGAGCTACAGGGGCAATGGTGGTCAGTGATTTAGGCAAAAAGTTTCACACGAAGCTACAGTGAGGTGGGTTCTTTCACTTCTTTTAAAATAAAACGCCATATTCTAGTCATCCAGTTGGACCATATCGCAAAGCAGGGTTAAACTCGATTAGAAACGTCTAAAGACCAATGTCAGTGGGAACAGTTGTATTTCTTCAAAATCATAGGCTAGTTTAACAAGAGAGTAATTCCTTCGAATCAAGGTTGAAGGCGTAGAGCGCAACTCTCTTGCTTCCAGATGCCTAAAAGATTATTCAAGCAGGCTGTGGTGATATGATGTCATAGCATGTCGCGTCGATGCACTGCTTACAGCAGTACTTTGTTCATCATTGTTGATCTAACAATAAGAAAAATACTGCCAACAAAACAAGGTCGTCTGCAACAGCAACCTTCTCACCTCTACATTTCCTACGCTGATACACTCGACACCTGGTTGCGTCTGACCAAAAGAGCGAACAGAACGTAGCCTTGGCGGATACCAGTGCATATGCAGAAAGATCTCGACGTAAAGCGCTTTACTTTGACGCAGCATCTGCTGTCAGCTTGTTGTGATTGGATGGCTCGTAGCAACTGCTCGTCGATCCCATATGTTCGCAGGCAAGCCCATAAATTATTTCGCGGAACCTGGTCTTAGGCTTACCCTAAGTTAACGAAATTCATGTAAACAGGATGAGCGAATTGACAGGATTTATTTCTCAACAATCCGATGTAACACGTAGATCTGACCAAGAATGCTTCGACCTCACCTGATGCAACACCGTTCTACCTATATCTCTAAGTGAGCAATTCCGCGGCACGTCCTTCTAGCACTTACGAGAAGATTCAGTCAGAACACTCCTGGTGGTCTCCTTTCAAGAATAAGGGTACTACAACATTCATTCTCCAATTTTCCTGTTCGTAACCACTGCAGTCTGACAAACATGCGCTTTTCTGTGAAAATTTAATTGCAAGCAAAACACCTTACTGCCATTCATACGAGACAGGAGTTTTTCATACCTTCACAAACCTTTCCTCAGGCATTTCGTCTCGAACCTTCTGATAACTCTGTTTCATGGCCAGAATGAAACCGAGCAAACCGCACTCAGTTTTGTTGCCCAGTTGTTTTTCGGCCTCGCCTTTGGCCGCAGGCGGAATCACCTGCGACGCGTAGCTGCTGTTGATGCAGATGCACTGCATGAGGATGTCTTTAATTTCGCCAAGCTTCTCCCACTTCGGCACCACGTTGTAATGTTTGCCTAAACAAAGTGGTCGTATGGCACGGCGGTGAGACGAGGGTCGTCGTCGACCACCGATCACCTCCGATGTAACTCTGGACGACGGTCATGCGATTGGTCGTCAATGTCCCGGTTTTGTCGGAGCAGATCGCCGTCGCGTTGCCCATCGTCTCACACGCGTCCAGATGACGGACCAAGTTGTTGTCCTTCATCATTTTCTGTAAAATAATCAATTACAATAATCCCATACACACGTGCCAAATTCACAGTAGACCCACTTTAACAGAATAAGCGAGTGACAGTGTCACAGCAAGTGGAAGGCCTTCTGGCACCGCCACCACTAGCACAGTTACGCCAATAATGATGAACTTCACAAAGTATTGTATATCGACAACGGAAATCGACCGATTCTTTATTCCATACTCTTCTATGCAAAACCGCAGGATCAGGATAATCACAGTCAGCGCAGCAATGAATGATCCTAGTAAACAAGAAATTTAAACAAAGAGAATATGAAATAAACAAAATAATTCAAACGTTCGGTGCCACACACAAGAGGTAACAATTTATAAATGTGAAAATCATATACTGCCGCCTGATGTAATATGCAAATTGTATTTTCCACCTCGTTATCTCATCTCTGTAGCCCTGTAGTCATGAATAAAAGGCGTGTTCGGATGAATGTCCAATTTACGAGGTCTAGTTTTACACTCCTTGTAGGATCACCTTTGGAAGGATGGACTAATGAATTTTGAGAGTAACGATGTTCTAAAGATGGAATATCTCATCACGGATGCAGCCGTTCTAAAGCTGTAAAGACCAAATGAGGAAGCTTCGAACAGGTTACCATCTGGATGTCGAATATTTAAAGGTTCAACCGGGATTCGGTTCGCTGTAGATGAAGAGGAAAATTATAACTCTTTTACTGACATCCTGATAGAGAGACTCAATTAATAATTCGAGATATTTTCACTGTTCGCAAAGAATAGCATATTGCAATATTTTCGTACACATTTGTCTTGCAATTCCATAACCTCTTTTCGCTAACGCTGCCGTCAACATGAGTAAAAAAACCACTTAATATGCAACCGCCTTCTGTATGTAAAACTGTATTCTAAAACCTCCCAAACATGTATAAAAATGGTTACGATGTCAACATCTATTCCATGTTAATTATTGACCTCATCTTCTCTTTCATATTAAACGATAAGCTATTTCTTTACCATTGAACATGTTTGTCTTCATCATTCCCTCGTTACCTCATTATTGTCAGTTTCAAGGTCTGCAAAAACTTATCAAAAATTTATATTAGTATATCGAATTCGACAACAGACAACCAGAATAAAAGTTGGACTGTATACCAAATGAACTGCTAATGCAGTGGAAAGAAACATAAAACAAACTATGACATAATGAGTTCACTAGAAAAAGCCAATATCGGTACCGTTGGAAGGCCTAAAAGAGACGATTCGCTTCTCCGGATTCACCCGGCGTCATCGCATTGTTAATGCTGGCTGTCAAAAGATTTAAATCGGAATAACGAAAGAAGGGTGAAAAACGATCCGAATAAACATACAGTAGCATTCGAATATGAATTGAAAAAACAATTAATTGAGTAACATGTGTTTGAGAACATATGTAGGATTCGCAACAGAGGCGGGAAAATCTCAGGAAATAACCACCACCGGCCTATCGATACGCTAATCCGTCACCATTAAAGCCTTTAACACAGCCTTCATCAACAACAAGAGGAATTTTCAAGATCTTTTCATAGTTAGAATCTCATCCTTTGTTTAGTTTCTAACATTTATTTCCATCCACTGCTTTTCCTTCATCCTTTATACATTCTTTCACTAGTAAGTGCACTTCAACTCGCCGTTTTCGAGTAGTAATTAGTTAAAACATTTTAATTTTATGCCTCATACTACCTTTGTCTTTGAATACAAAGACCACGGTATCCAATTTGAAATATTATTACTGCGTTGAAAAAGAAAAGCTCCGCTGGTACAAGTGAACATTTTCCCCAGGAGTTTCAATCGTTCCATCTATTTGTTCAAGTACTTGCGATAACCTGTAAACAACATTTCACACTGAACTGTAACTATTAAGCTTGTTCATATAAATGACTGCTACAACAGAACAGATACATACCTGATTAGATCAAAAATTAATAATCAAACCTGCATATCCAATTTGGATCGCTAGCCGGGTCAGTTTCGCTTGCAATACGGAACGTTCTTTCTTTACCGAGTGCTCCTTTTTCTTCTCCGGAGGGAGAGGTTGAGGTAGAGCGTCAGCATCACTTACAGAATTTAGAGTAATATCACATACTGCTTTGCCACTGTCTGAAACGAGGTGGATACAGAATTCGTTTACAATCGCCGATGTGGAGAATAGCTTACGAACATCATTTCCTGAAAGCAGAGACTGTGTGGCGTCCTGAGGGTCAACTGAAAATACCGCTGTTACAAGAACCAAAAAAGGCAAAACAAAAGGGTCTACCGGAAAATGACTTGTTCTTCCTGTTCTTCTTTTCTTAAAACAATAAAATAGCTTAGATACTCATTTAACCAGCTTAAAAGTGATACGTAATACCTTGCTTCTTTTTCTTCTTTTTTTCCTCTTCTTCAACGGTTCTTG